CCAAGCCCACGGGCATCTGTGAGGCTCCGGCTCATTTCCCAGCACTTCCTTGTAAAGATATAGACATACCCGCTTGGGAAGGTAAAGATCCAGAAAGGCCTTATCCTGATGCTCTCACTCCAGTTGTGAAGAGCATCCCACTCAATATATCACACCCTTGGGACTGAGACATGTCCCTGGGTTCAACAGAATCGCTGGAATGCTGAGAGTAGCCCTGAGGAGAAAGATGCGGAGATCCTGGTTGATGAAGAGCTGGACATGAGCCAACAATGTGCCAGTACAGCCCAGAAATCCTCAACCACATCCTGGGCTGCCCCCCCCAGAAACATGGGCAGCAGGGCAGGGAGGGGATCCTGCCCCTCTGCCCCACTCTGAGGAGCCCCCCCTGCAGTGCTGGGGCAGCTCTGGAGTCCTCAGCACAGCAGAGCCAGGGCCCTGCTGGAGCGGGGCCAGAGGAGCCCCAGCAATGCCCCGAGGGGGGGACCCCTCTGCTGGGAGCCCAGCAGGAGAGAGTTGGGCTGGGGCAGCTGAGAGGAGAAGGCTCCAGCTGGGGAGACCTGCTGGGGGCTGCCAGGACTGCCAGGGGCCTGCCCAAAAGCTGGGGGGGGGGCTTTTGAGCAGGGCCTGTTGCGAGAGGACAAGGGGTGATGGTATTAAACTAAAAGAGAGGAGATGGAGACTAGATAGAAGGAAGACATTTTTGACACTGAGGGTGGTGAGACCCTGGCACAGGTTGCCCAGGGAAGCTGTGGATGCTCCATCACTGGAGGTGTTCAAGACCAGGTTGGATGTGGTATTGAGCAACCTGGTCTAGTGGGAGGTGTCCCTGCCCATGGCAAGGCGGTTGGGAACTAGATGATTCCTGAGGTCCCTTCCAACCCAACCCACTCTATGATTCTATATTGGCATCCCTTCGGTACTACGAAGTTACAACTTTTTGAGGATAGAGACCTTTAGCAAAGGCCTTACTTGTATTCCGCATTATCCCAGAAAACCAAACAGATCAGGATTTACATGAAAAAAAAGTGCCTTCTCTTCAAACTGCAACTACCAAAACAGAAGGCAACTTGATTTTTTTCTTTTGACAGTGGGTGTTAGAAGAGTCAACCACATGCTTTAGGGTTACAGCTGGATTATCCATCACAGGATCTCTGTGAGCCTGGTCTGAACCATTTTATAACTCCGTAACATTTGTACTTCCACAAAAGCAACCTCCCATCATCACTATCTGTTGTGTTCCTATTATTATGTCTTTGTGTTACGGCTGTACATGGGTATTACATTGTATTAGTACTGCAGACACGCACATCTGCACCCACACCCCCACATTTGCACAGGCTTATGGCTAAAATTCCTGATCCTACTTATAAAAAGCCCTATAAATCCTGGATAGCTCTCTTTAAATCAGCAGCATTATCCTACTGTAAATCCAGGGTGTAAGTCAGAGCAGACTCTGGCTCAGATGCTCTTTAGCTACACACCGTAATGAAGTGGAGAGCCTAAAAGCAGACCTGGGGCTCCATATACATCAGTTCCCCCCAAAACCCGTTTGCACTGCATCATGCCCTGCTCAGCCCCACACCCTATTACTTTCCAAAGTACCAGCCCACTTATTCTCATCGAGTAGCAATCTGAAAGAGATTAAGAGCTGCCTTTGGCAGCCCTGCCGCTGCCGCCACGTGCTTAAATATTGCTCACAGCTGAGTTATTTCTTGCTTCTTAGGAACTTTAAAGGGCTTTTACGCTCAGTGAACTCATGAAAGGCTCATATCTGAAGTCAGCAGCATTGAAACAACGAATTAGCCAAAGGAAAAACAGGCCAGTTAGGCCAGTTCTTACAATACATTACCTAGATGGCTGCCAGAGGAGCCGATTTAAAGTCACTGTGCTACACCTGAATGTCATTTATGAGTCATAAAAGGAAATCTGTGTTTAAGTAACAATAAAGCAGGACAGCACTTTTTATAGATATATAAAAACAATAATTCTTTTCTCACAGAGGAGATACATTTTTATTTGCTCAGTGCCTGCCTCTGAAGCACATGGGATGCTTTCAGCCACAGAGCCCACGGGTTAAGCAGGAGGACTTGCTCCAGCATGGATTATGTTTGGTTTTTACACATCCTTCCACCGAAGCCTTAACATAGCGAATTTGAGCTCCTTGCAAGGGCAAGGCCTGAATCCCCTCGTACACCTATAGCTGTCAGAGGAACAAGGGAGGTCCCTGGGGACTGGGCCTGGCCCAAAGCCACAGCCCAGTGGTGGGAAGAGGCAGGGACCTTTTGTTAACACCCCCAGCTCTAGGGTTCAATTGTTCCAATTGTACAAATGTTCAATTTTTGAGAATTTTTCTGCATGAAAACAAGCCATAGTGAGAAATATGTAACAACAACAGAAAAACTCCATCATTCTCTGCCTCTACATTGTTCTTCCCTCCACCAATTTCCCATCATTTGCCCATTATCACTCTTCTCACAGAGTCATGGCCTCCAGCGCTGCACCCTGGAGAGGACCTTACACACCCTTCCCAAGCCCCAGTGCTGCTGGCGAGGGTGGGGTTCTGTTTCCCTGCTCCATTCAGGGGCCAAGGAGACAAGGAAGGTGCTCAGTCCTCACCCCTCCCACCCAAGGAGTTGAAAATGACCCAGAGATGCAATGCTACAGCTGTTGACAGCAAGGGTCACAGTCCAAACTGTTACCTGCTCTCTCTGGTTTGACTTCACTTTTGGAAAAGGCATCATCCCACCATCGTTCACCTCCCCAGCAAAGAAGCCTGGAGAATTCATCGGTCTGGTCTACACAGCAGGTCTGCAGGACCTCCCCGACACTCGGCGCCACCTGGGACATCTCCAGGGCTGGCACCACACTGCAAGTGTCAAAGTGCAGAGAGAGGGGCGGAAAAAAAAAAAAAGTTGTGAACTTCTGCCAACTCAGATCTCCAAACCACCTACAGTAGAGCACAAAAACAGCATATTGCCCAATGTGAAACCTGAACTAAAGCAGTTACACTGCTATAAACCGAGCAGCACCCTGCAGGACCGTGGGAGTGGAACACCAGAGCCATACCCAGCACCTTTGGTGAGGACACAACTCCATGTAGGGATGCTGGGGCAGGGAAAACAATGCCAAATTCAGTCAGCAACTTCAATTTCTCAGTATTAACACTCTACTTCCAATTGTACCTATCAGCATGGAGTACTGGCCAGCAGTACCTTAAGAAAGGCTCCTGTGAAGCTCAAAATACATTTCTCTTGCAAGAAGCATCTGGACAAAAAGCTATGCTTGTGTAGGGACATTGTGACAGCCCCTCTGTGCAACCGGCTCCATTTGGGAATCTGACTTACAAGGAATTTAAGCATAGCCTTCATGGCAAAGCAGCTAGCACTGTGCTGGAGCTGCAAAACACACAAACCAGGCACGGCCTGTCAGCAACAGCCATGAGACATCACTGATTTGAGATGAGTTACCTTGTCCCAAGAGGAAGACGACCATGATTCAACTGCTTCACCAGCTGACAGGTCTGCTTCCCACACCCCGCAGCGGCCGAGTCGCGCCCTGCACTCTGACCACGCGGCACCACAAACTCACTGCAAACCCTAACAAAGAGCAGATAAAAAGGGATTTAGTGCTGTCAGGACCACTAACCCCCCAATCCCATCACAGGCAAAAACTGCAGAGGACTGAACCTGGATTAGTCCAAATATCCGCTCCATCTGCGTACAACCGTATTTTCCTTCCACGTGTTTATTTCCAAGCTACAAACACAGCCTTTCATGGCTCCCAACAGCTTTCACCTTACAAATCCATCAGCTTCCCAGTCATCACAGCCTTCCACAGAGCCACTTTTTCCACCCCTTCTCGTCTTGCCACCCACTGTCTCACATTCCTCCATTCAATGGTTCCTCCCCACTGTCAACAAACATCAGGGAAACACAGACCAACCTGTTTGCTCCCACACCAAACAAAGGAGAGGTGACTTTGGGATTTCTTCTTTTTGGCTGTTTTTTTTTTCCCTTAAGGAGGAGGGTGACAAGTCAAACCATGGCTAGACACAGATTATGATTTTAGATTTTCTTTTTCAATTCCACATCTTTATTTTACAAAAATAACTTACAAATAGAGACAACTCTCAGAAGTAAAATCATTCATTCTGTGCACAAAGATACAGCTTGTGAAGCAGGGATGTAGGAGTTAACAACTCTTACAATACTGTTAATTTTAACATGATGGTAACTATATTACAGTACATACATTTCATGCTCCAGATGTGTGGCTGTGACCACCACATAAAGCTATGGTCAGCGAGGTGTGTTGGCCAAGGACGCACCTAAGAGATCATTTCCATTCTGCTATTTATTTGCATCCTCTTACCTATAGCATTTGAAACCAAACAGCAACCTAACACTCAGACTAGCGTACTCTGGACACACTCATCAGCAATATACTTCAAATACATGATAAAAATAGATTTCACTTTCAATTACAATTGTATAAGGTACACCAAGAGCCAGAAAATAAAGTCTCAAGCTTTTAAATACGAAACACTATATATATAAACATATACAAGGAGACAAGAGGAAATCTACACATAGAGGAAAAAAGCTTATCCTGGAAACACAGGTTATCTACAGTACACAGCAGCTCCGTCTGCTACGAAGTCACTTCTATTTGCATAGCAGTGGTGTCGAGTGGTCCAGGCTGGGCTAGGAGGGGATCAAACTAAACACATCCACAAAAGGCTTCATTTTGGTACCACTTCCATTTTGCACCTGATTCTACTCTTATATTACAATTTGCTATTTCTCTTTTGTAGGCTGGAATTCATGCCCCGTTTATAACAAGCACAGGGAAAGCAGAGGTAAAAAAACAAAAGAAAAGTACAAAAAAAAAAAAAAAAAAAAAAAAAAAAAAAAAAAAAAAAAAAAAAAAAAACAACCAAAAAAAACCACACACACAAAACCTAAAGGTCGGAGAGTCAAGGTTTCTTTCTGTGCTTGCAGTCATTTGGCATTTTGCTCCAGAGCAGAGTATTCTGCTTCTGACACTCGGGAAGCATCGATAAGTTTAGTGAGACCAGTTTTGGCAGAGTACTTGAAAATAAAAGCTTTCATGAGCTCGTATCTGTAGCTGCGGTTAATGAAGCTGTACAGGATGGGGTTGATGCAGCAGTGGACTAGAGAGAAACACTGAGTGATGTGAAGAGTGGCGTATAAGAAATTCTCCATCTGACAACTGAAAGGTATGAAGTGAAGGCTGTAGAAGATGTCCAGCAGGACAGCTACGTGGTAGGGTAGCCAGCAGACGAGAAACACGACAACGTAGGAGAAAATGATCTTCCCGTTGCTCTTCCTCTCTTGGTCGCTGGAGGCGGAGATGGTCTTCGCAAGGAGGAAGTAAAAGAGAGCAATGATGGGAAAAGGGATAAGAAAGCCCAGGACGACGGAGATGAGCTCCATGCCAATCAACCACTCCTTGAAGCTCTCCTCTGGATAGATGGGACGGCAATAGGTTTCGTTGTTGGAAGAGACCGTCTTGAGATAGTAGGTGTCTGGGAGAGAGGCGCAGAAGGCAAGAAGCCACACTAGGATGCAGATGCAGCGCCGAATTATCTTCTTCTTGCGACTGCTGGAGTTGGTGAAATAGGCAACCGAGAGGTAGCGGTCCACGCTCATGCAAGCCAGGAAGAAAATACTGCCGTACAAGTTGATGGAAAATATCAGGTGAGTTACCTTGCATGTGATTTCTCCCATGTGCCACTGATTGTGCTGGATGAGAGAGACGACCCACACCGGAAGGGTGATGACAACGCACAGATCAGCAATAGCCAAATTGAAGATGTAGAGGTGCGTTTCATAGCCGGTCATTTTGGCTTGGAGGTTGACCCACACCACAACGGAGTTGGCCACCAGCCCTATGACAAATATGAAGATGTAGAAGAAGGACAGGGTATAGAGCAGGGCGCTTTTGTTGAGTGTGCCAGGGCAAGTTGTTGCATCAACTGTGATGCAGTCCCCATTGTTGCATGTCCAGTTGATCTCCGTCAAGTTGGCTGTTTCCAGAAAATCGAGGATGGAAGTAAAATCGAGCGCACTCATGTTTGCACAGTTTGGAGTTCCAGTGACCTACAAGGCAAAACAGAATCAAAAGAAACAACCTAAGTTAACAGAGAGGTTTCAGCTGCCACCTTCATATCACGAAGTGCATGCAGGACACGCTGTTATAGTGACGTCCTACTCTTGTAAGGTGCTTTCCTTTAAAGAGATCCATGGAGGAAAAACACCAGAACAGACCCATACCAAAAACTCATCTGGCTGACAGGATAGGAGCGGCACTACTTTTTGGTGTGATTTTTTGTTCTCTTGCAGCTCACATCTGACATCATCACATTGGCTACCATCCCTGGGTGTGAAATCTGCAGAGCGCACCATGGCCAAATAAATGTCAGCCAACTAAATCTGTCTTCTCCAGCATAAATGATGACACTATCGCTTTCAGCAGGGGAATCTTTAAGCCATTTTATCTGAACTCCCTCAAGCGTAGTAGAATTGATCTGGCGGATACATGGTATGGCAAAACATTTACCACGAGCTCTGGTCAGCATCTTGTCAAGCCCAGCTCCAGCTGCATTAAGTAGAAATAGAGAACTAAGGTTCTTTGTACCCCTGTCCAATTTTAAATTTAAATCCTGCTCCATCCTCCCCCCTTTCCTTGAATTCTATTTTTTACAAAGCATCCCCCGAGTTTCACAGTTGTCACACAGCTTTGAGAAAAGGGGGAAAAAAAAAAAAAAAAAGCTGGAGCTTGACTGCTGAGTAGATCTGCTGGGCTTAAGTTTTCTTTTTAGGAAAGTGCTTTGATTTACAAAACATTTCTCCATCACAGCTGGCACCACAACTGCTTCCTCTCCTCCCTTTTGCTTTTCTGCATCTACTTTTCTTGCCTCTTCAGCACCTTCTTCCATCAGCAGGCAGTGGACAAAGCAAGGGCCTCCTCATTAACTTCCTTGACAGCAGAAGGAAAGGCCCCAACGGACCCACAGCTTAACAAAAAAGCCCAAAGCCAGGCTGCTCATGATCAGTGTGCTTTTGGGGCAGTGTACAAATGCACCACCCACGGCGGCAGCTGGCTCTCTTGGCCCATGACCACCACGCTTCGGCCAAGCAAGTTTTGGAGCCCCGTGCCCGCAGGCTCTGGTTTGGGGTGCACTAAAATAAAGATGGACAGGTGGGTTTCCAAGGGATGGACCCAAACTCATTCCCCCATGGCTTCACCTAAGCTGGAGCATCAGCCCACCCACAGTCCCCACTGTGGACATTTCTAACATCCTAGATAGTGGCCACCTTGTTCTTTGCCATGCCCCCAGCCCCAGCAGTGAGAGGTATCCCCAGATGCCCTGAGGGCAACACCAGCATGAGCAAGCAGCTAGAAAGAGCAAAGAGGTGGGGAACGATTCTCATGGCTACTGGTACTCTGAAAATCCTCGATACCACCACAGGACCTCTTGGTGGGGCTTGAAGAAGGACAAAGAGCAAGGAAGAGTTTGGACACACTCCTGTGCTAAGCATCCTCTTCTTGCTCCCCAAAAAAGGGACATTGCTTGACACAGCAGCTCTCCCTCCTCCACCTGCATAATTGGCTCTCCCCAGATCTCCCACCCTCTTTGCTTGCGTGGGGAATCCAGGCTACAGAGGAGAAGGGAGATAAGGGGCGGAGATTACCAGGAAGGACTCAAGGCACTATCGTCCCCACGGAGGGGAAACTGGTGGCACTAACAATGAGCAGTGCTGTGCTCTCATTCAGGGGAGATCCAACCTCTTCACAAACAGGGCCTAAATTGGCCTCTCAAGGAGATCTAGGCTATCACTTCAAACCTAAGCCAACCTCCAGGCTTTCATCCTAATGAAAGGTGGGAGTTGAGATTCAAACCGAGTTACACACAAGATTTTGCTAAAATACAGGAGCTGGGACAGTGTCCTGGGATAGGTGATCCCTGTCTCCGGCTCAGGAAAAGAAAGGGTGTTTTTACTCACATCTACCCAGGGCAGAAGGGCTGCTCTGCTCCCACAGAGGTGTAGGCCACCCTCAAGCTGCTTGGGCCGCAAGTAGGGGAGAGAAATGGGCCTTCTGTTACACCTCAGCCCAGGTCCCACCACTACCACTGTGTCCCCAGTACAAATGCTTTTCAAGGCCCCTCGAAGATGAAGAGAAGCAGCACCATCCCCAAGCCCCTGTATCTCAAAACCCTACAGTAACTAAAGCAAACTCCCCTAAAAGCCACAAAACTCCCAGACCTGTGGCACAATCCACCATCTCCTGCTGGTATTTGTGGACAGTGAGGTGAGCAGAACAAAAGGAACAGCAAGCTACCCCTGTAGCACCCCACAGAAGTAGCATGGGTGGGCCTGAGCATCTTCTGGGAAGGTACATGGTCGAACAAGGGGAGTGGGCTCATTCCACATCTTCAAGACCCCAAGTCAAGCCAATCTCCAGGACAGGGCTGTGAACACACACCGCCAAGCCTCCAGCACATCTCCAAATGGAAGAGAAACTCTGACCTGGCTGTGAGGTGTCAGATCACTCGTGCCAACAGAGAGGGAGCAACAGGTCAGCAGAAAGCCCTTGAAGCTGGAGCTCACACCAGTGCTGGGGACACCATGGCCACCAGCTTTGGGAGGGCACCACCATCCCAGCTGCTCCCTCACAACCACCCTGAGGATCTTCTCAGCCCACATCTCAAGCCTGCCTCCCCTCCAAGAGCGGGTCTGCTGCGTACATGTGCATCCATCTGTCCAGGGCCGCCCGCATGCCTGTGCACTCTCGCGTCCCCAGCGCGGTAATAAAAATCCGAAACCGAGAGGGCCTCCCAGGCTCAAAGCCCTGCTGGGCAGGACGCTGAGATGCAAAGATTACAGCTATAGTCTGGGATTAGCTGCTGTAACCCGAGCTCCAATTCCCACCCAGGTTAGCTGCGAGGTGTGGGGGCAATCCACCCCACCAGAAAAAATCAAAAAAGCCACCCTGTACTCCTAAAAAAAAAACCACCTTTAGTACTCTCTACAGACAGCACAATATCTTAAAAACTTGGGAAGGCAGCTGGAACTGCATTTTGCGTTGCACCGCAAGGCCCCTGAAGGCCACCCCCCCACCACTCAGCAAGCACGTGTGCTGCACCCAGTCCCAGCTAGTTCACAGGAGTTAGGACTTGAAGGAAACGCCCATGAAATCCTGCTCCTGGCATCGAGAGACATCGCTGGAGCCGATGGAGGCTGTAGGACTGCGCCCTCCTCATCCCACCTCTCAGCCAGGACCATGCTGTGAAAAGGTAACCAGGCACGAGCAACCCTGCCTAGCACTACGTGGCCACGTTCAAGCCCCTGACACTTTGGGGAACTTCTCGGCAACCCCTCTTGCTCTCAGAGCATCTTGCAGCCTGCGTGCACTCAGACCTGTCTCCGGGAAGCTCAGGGATGTGGGCAAAATGAGCTTTGCTCTTCCTGAGCAGAGAAGGAAATGAGCTACACCAGGAAAAGTCAGGAGAGCTGGTCGGGTGGTCACCCACACACCTTCACCCTTTCCGTGTCAAAGGAGCAGCCTGGTTCTCCAGCACAGCCCCTTCGAGCCCGCTCGGCCCTGCAGGACACCCACGTCCTGACGGGGCTTTGCAAGACTAAGCCCGACACATTTAAACTCCCCCCTGCAGTCCCGAGGAGAAAAAAAAGGTAGTAACTGGGCAAACAAGTGTCCCGCGCAGCTTCTGGCCCACAGCGAGGCACGGAGGGGAAAGGGAAGGGGTTCACCCC